GGCACCCACTTGTGGAGATTTCTGCCTTGAAGATGAACCTCATAGCGGTCGACCTAAAGCAATATCTGACGAGGATTTTAGGGGGATTTTGGAGGCTGACCCATCCCAAACAGTTCGAGAGATAGCAGAAGAGCTAGGCCTTGGCAAATCCACTGTTGCAGATGGTCTGGAACGCATTGGGAAGGTGAAAAAACTCGACAAGTGGGTGCCCCACAATTTGAGTGACCGGCAGAAATTGGCACGTCTCGAGGTTTCCTCTTCACTGCTTTTGCGCAACAGAAACGACCCGTTTTTGAACCGAATTGTCACCTGTGATGAAAAATGGATCATGTATGATAACAGGAGACGTTCCGGACAGTGGTTGGATTTCGACGAACCACCGAGGTAATTTTCAAAGCCGAACCCTCACGAAAAAGATTCTGGTCACGGCTTGGTGGTCATCGGCTGGTGTGATCCACTATAACTTTTTATCACCAGGCCAAACCATCACAGCAGAACCCTACTGTGAAGGAATCGACGAAATGTACCGAAAATTTTGTCAGCTGCAGCCAACACTTATCAAAAGAAAGGGTCCGATTCTTTTGCATGACAACGCCCGCCCACACGTTTCACAAATCACTATCCATAAATTGAACGAATTGGGGTTGAAGTTCTACCTCAACCGCCATATTCTTCAGACCTTTCGCCAATCGACTATCACCTTTTCAAACATTTTCAGAACTCCCTTGCTGGAAAATACTTCATCAATCAGGACCAGGCAAAAAAGCCTTCGTGGATTTCGTGAATCTCGACCACCCAGTTTTTTTCTTTGATGGGATTTCTCGACTGCTGTCACATTGGCAAAAGTGTGCTGATTCGAATGGTGCTTATTTGGATTAAATCCGATGAGTGTTAAGAAAGTTATGATCGTTTAAAGTGAAACACTCGAAACGTGCAGAACTTTCCCGGACAACCTAATATATTCCAAAGGATGACGTGGCGCATGACCAGTCCCGAACATGTACAGTCCTCATCATTACGTACTGTCGGGGCGGTTCAGTGCGGCTGCGTTTGGCGCGGTGCCAAACCCGCTCTCCACCAGTATTTAGAGCAAATGATATGACTGTATTATATCCTCCGTATTACTCGTTTTA